GTCTTTGCTGCTCAGCCCCTGGGCCCCCGGCTTCCTTCACGGGACACGGCCACTCACTCGGTGGTCAGCACCCATGGAGACTGCTGTGGGCTGGACCACACTCGGGGAGCTGGGGGCACCTGGCAGCTCCACAGATGGGGGTCAGGATGCCTGGATGGGGCGGCCCCTCCAGAAGACAGGCTCGGGGAGCCGGTGCAGGTGGCCGTGTCCTGGGCCTCCCTGGGGGCAGGCAGCAAGGGCGGGGGCCTGTCCCTATGGGAGGTGAGCTTCCTCCTGCAGCTCCTTCTCACGCAATGGGCCGGAAAGGGTTGGGGGCCCATTGTTCCCTGGCACGCCAGCACCCCCAGCCCTCCCCAGCTTCTGGGGGAGGGGGGAGCGGTGGAAGGAAGTGGGGCCTGGCAGGGCCCCAGGGAGAGGGCGCAGGCTCCCAGGAGTGCTGCCTCCCGCGTGGACGGCTGGTGCGCTCACAGCTGCACGTGCGCCACACGCACCAGCCTGGAGACCAGCATTCCTGGTGTGTGTGTGTGCGCGTGTGCGTGTGCACGCACTGATGGGTACCTGGCACGTCATACGAGCTCACTAAGCCTCCTACCAGACTTGCAGGGTAGGATCATCCGCCCAACTGCTGGACGTAGAGAGATTATGTAACCAGCCCCTGCTTAGTAGTGTTGGACCTGGCTCTGGGATCTGCCGGTCCCCTCTCACTTCAGCACATCTGCTGGGGACTGGACTTGGCGGTCAGCACTGCCCAGCAGGGAGTGGGGCTGCCCAGGTGAAGGGTGGGCTGGCAAGCTGTCAGGTGTCACCGCGGTTCCCCCAGAGCACCGCTGGGCACGCAGAGCCGCAGACGGGGCCACAGGAGGCCTCCAGGGAGGCCGGGCCGCTGCCTCCCGAGAGTTCCGGCTGCTCCACTTCCAATCCAGCTCCCGGGTGATGAGGACGGCCCAAGTGCTTGGACCCTGCCCCCCCCACACGGAGGACCCAGATGGAGTTCCTGGCTCCTGACTTCGGTGTAACCCCAGACCTGGCTAATGTGGCCATTTGGGGAGTGAACCAGAGATTGGAAGACATCTCTCTCCTTTTGTTCTCTCTCTCTCTGCCTTTCAGATAAATAAACACATCTTTAAAAGAAAAGCCAGAAAAAGAAAAGGAGAGGGAAGCCAATAGTTTCCGTTACCTGCTCAGTTCCCCTCATATTTATCATCTTGCAAAAATAGCTCCACTTATTGTAACTGATGAGCCAACACTGATTTAAAATTTTTTATAAAGATTTATTTATTTGAGAGGCAGAGTTACAAATAGAGAGGGAGGGACAGAGAAAAAGAGACATCTTCCATCCACTGTTCACTCCCCGGATAGCAGCAACCGCCAGAGTTTTACCTGCTATGCCACGGTGCTGGCCCGCCAAGAGTGATTTTTAAAATTTATTTTGGGGCCAGCACTGTGGTGCTGTGCTGCAGTGGCCTGGGAAAGCAGTGGAAGATGGCCCAAGTGCTTGGGCCTCTGCACCCACGTGGGAGACCTGGAAGAAGCTCCTGGCTCCTGGCTTCAGATCAGCTCAGCTCCAGCCGTTGCAGCCAACTGGGAAGTGAACCAGCAGATGGAAGACCTCTCTCTCTCTCTGCCTCTGCCTTCCAAATAAATAAATAAATAAATCTTTAAAAATATGTTGTTTTATTTTTAAAAGATTTTTATTTGAAAGGTGGAATTACACAGAGAGAGAGAGAGAGAGAGAGATCTTTCATCTACTGGTTCACTCCACGAATGGCCACATTGGCCAGGCTGAAGCCAGCATTAGGAGCCTCCTCCAGGTCTCCTGCGTGGGTGCAGAGGCCCAGACATTTGGGCATCTTCTGCCGCTTTTCACAGGCCACCATCAGGGAGCTGGATCGGAAGTGGAGCAGCCGGCTCCCAAACTGTTGCCCACATGGGATGCGGGCACTGCAGGTTGCACCCGCTGCGCCTCAGTCTAGCCACCCCACCCCCTATTTCTTTAAAGACAGTGTGCAGCTTCTCTGGTTGTGCAGTTGGTAGCGCGGGGTGCTTAGGAGGTACTGTTGCAGTTTTCTGATGAAAGCCTGCAGCAGATGCTGGGGGTCCTGCTGCCATCCGTCCTCTGTGTTGGAGGCCCACAGGACGCGGGCCCTCCGCTGCTCTTCATCCCCTTACCCTGCGCTCCTGACGCCCACTGGTGCTTCTGCCGTCTCCATCGCTTTGCCTTTTCCGGGGTGTCAAAGGCCAGGAATCTCACTGCCTCAGTGCCCCCCCCCCTCCCACTGGCTTCTTTCGTCAGCCTCACGACTTCTCATGGCTACGAGAGCTTTTTATCGCACCCAGTGTTTGATTGTGTTCTTTTCTTTCTTTCTTTCTTTTTTTTTTTTTTTTAAGATTTATTTATCTATTTGAGAGGCCAAGTTACAGAGAGGCAGAGGCAGAGAGAGAGAGGTTTTCAATCCGCTGGTTCCCTCCCCAAACGGCTGCAATGGCCAGAGCTGGGCTGACCTGAAGCCAGGAGCCAGGACTTCTTCAAGGTCTCCCATGCAGGTGCAGGGGCCCAAGGACTTGGGCCATCTCCACTGCTTTCCCAGGGCATAGCAGAGAGCTGGATCTGAAGTGGAGCAGCCGGGACTAGAACTGGTGCCCATAAGGGATGCCTACACTGCAGGCGGTGGCTCTGCCTGCTACGCCACAGCGCCAGCCCCACTTGCCTTTCAAAAAGAATCGTGGTTAGGGCTGGTGTTGTGGCACAGTTACGCTGCAGCCTGCCGTGCTCCCATCCCGTACCCGAGTGCCTGTTCACAGCCCAGCTGCTCTGCTGATCCAGCTTCCTGCTAATGTGCCTGAGAGGCAGCAGGTGGCGGCTCAGGTGCTTGGGCCCTGCACCCACGTGGGAGAGCTGGAAGAAGCTCCTGGCTCCTGGCTTCTGCCTGGCCCAGCCCTGGCTGTTGCTGCCATTTGGGGAGTGAACCAGCAGATGGAAGACCTCTCTCTCTCTCTCTCTCTCTCTCTCTCTCTCACTTTCTCTGCCTTTCAAATAAAACGTTTACGAATTGTGGGAGAACACACACATTTTACCGTTATAAGTATTGGAAGTGCACAGCTCAGCGGTGTCAATGACACTCACGGTGTTATGCAGCCATCGCCCCTGTGGTGCCCAGCAGACCACGCCCATCCTGCCCCTCTCGGCCCCCACGGCCTCTGCGTCTCTGCGTGCCCCACGTCCTGCCTGGACGCGTGCTCCTGCTGCATCGTCTCTGTTGCACCTGCTCCCTTCACTGGTGCCTGGTTCCAGGGTGACCTGTGTGGCTGCCCGTGCCAGGAACAGGACTGCACAGGGCCCAGAGTCTTCAGCAAGGTCACACACACACACTCACACTCAGCCCCCCAACCCCCCCCCACATACACACACACCCAGCCCCCCATACCCAGCCCCCACACACATACACACACACTCAGTACCCCCCCACAGCCCACACACACACATACACACCCTCAGTCCACACACACACACTCAGCTCACACACACACACTCAGCCCCCCCACACCCAGCCCCCCCACTCAGCCCCCCACATACCCAGCCCACACACACACATACACACACACTCAGCCCACACACATACCCACACACACCCAGCCCCCACACACACACTCAGCACACACACCCAGCCCACACCCACACCCACACACCCAGCCCCCCCCACACATACGCACACACTCAGCCCCCCCACCCAGCCCACACATACACACACACACACAGCCCCCACACACATTCAGCCCCCCCACACCCAGCCCCCCCACTCAGCCCACACACACATACACACACACACTCAGCTCACACACACACACAGCCCCCACCCGCACCCACACACCCAGCCCCCACACACATACACACACACTCAGCCCCCCCACACCCAGCCCCCCCCCCACTCAGCCCACACACACACACACACACCCAGCCCCCCTCACACCCAGCCCCCACCTACACACACACACTCAGCTCACACACACACACTCAGCCCTCCCACCTACACACACACACACACACACACACCCAGCTTTGCCTGGCTCCCAAAAGCTTTTGTATCAAAACAAACTTCTCTTTTTAATTCCATCTCCCACACGCTTCCTGAGGTCCCGTCACACAGGTGGGATGTGTAGACCCCGTTTTGTGGGTCACTCATCTCGCGATGGGCGGTTGGGGTGTCGTCTGGGACCGAGTTTCTGTCTGAGCTCCTATTTTCAGTTCTTCTGAGTACGCACCTCGGGGTGGAATACCTGAATCCCGCGGCAGTTCTGTGTTTAACCTTTAAAGGGATTTTATTGATTTACTTGTGAGGCAGAAGGAGAGAGTTCTCATCCACTCATTCTCTCCCTAAAATCCCTGCCATCGGTTGGTGCCGGGGCTGAGGCCGGGGGAAGCCAGAAACTTAGAACTCCCTGCGGGCCTCCCACGTGGTTCAGGGACCCAGTTACTCGAGCCATGGCTGCTGCCTGCCAGCGTCCGCGTTAGCAGGGGTCTGGGCGGGAAGTGGAGCAGCCAGGACCTGAACCAAGCACTCCAGCGTGGGGTGCGGGTGTCCCACGCTGTGACTTAACGGCTCTACCTCAACCCCCGCCCCATTTTTGAGTTTGGTTGGTCGATTTCTCATTGCTAAGATGTGGCAATTCTTCACGGTCTGGATATCGGTTTCTTATCAGGTGCATACTCTGTAAACCTTTTCTCTCGCTCTCTGGGTTGACTTTCACACTTGATACTGATTTTTTTTTAATATTTATTTATTTGAAAGGCAGAGTTACAGAGAAGCAGAGGCAGAGAGAGAGAGAGAGAGAGAGATCTTCCATCTGCTGGTTCACTCCCCAAATGGACGTAACAGCCAGGGCCGGGCAGGGCAGAAGCCAGGAGCTTCATCTGGGTTGGGCCCCTTCCTCCCCAGGCGCTTCACGTGTTCAAGACTTGAGCCAGAGCAGAGAGGAGCTGGCCACTGAGCCTGGGATGTAGCCCCGGGCCTGGGGAGCTTTGCGCTCTGGGAAAGTAGCCAGCCACAAGACCATTGACAGGGTGGGCGCAGGGCAAGGAAGCTGCAGGCAGAAAGTAGAGCCGCCGCTGCCCAGGGCTGGGCGGCAGGGGAGGGTGGGGTTCTGGGGACGGGGCGGGGCATTGCGGAGGAAGTTACTGTGAAGAAGAGCAGGAGAGGGCGGCCGAGCCCCCAGAGCGACCGCCGCAGCCCCGCCCCCGGCCGCCCTCACTGGTCGGAGAAGCGTGGGCGAGCCTGGACATGCTCACAGCGCGGGTGCTTCATGGTCAGCCCGTAGATGGGGGTCAGGTCCACGGGCACGCCGGGTGGCACGCTGAACTCCAGCCGCTGGAGCAGGATGGCCAGGAAGAGGAAGACTTCCCACCTGGCCAGGGTCTCCCCGATGCACCTGCGCTTGCCGAGGCCGAAGAGCGTGACCTTCTCACTCAGGGGCTTGTTGATGGCCGCGCCGTCCGCCGTGAGGAATCGCTCGGGCCGGAACTCCTCCGGGTCCCCCCACAGCTGCCTGCGAGAGGAAGGCAGGAGAGCTGACCCTGGTTCACTCCCCGAATTGTCTGCAATAGCCGAGGCTGGGCCAGGCTGAAGCCAGGAGCTCAGAACGCCACCCAGATCTCCCACGTGGGTGGCAGAGATCAAAGGACTTGAGCCATCACCCGCTGCCTCCCAGGGTGCCCGGTAGCAGGAAGCTGGAACTAGGCCTTGAACCCAGGCACTCCAGTATGGGACGGATATGGGATGCGGCGTTCCTGTCTTAAGCATTGTACCAAATCCTGCCCCCAAACTGAACTCTGACGTTTCTTTCTTTTATAAAGCTTTCTTTCACACGATTATCCTGGGGCTGGGCGTTGTGGCACAGACGGCTTAGTTGTGGGTCGAGTTCCCACTCCTCCACGTCGCATCCAACTTCCTGCTAGTGTGCTCTGGAAGACGGCGACAACGCTACACAAACGGGAGACCAGGATGGGGCTCCAGGCTCCTGACTTGGCCCGCCCCCGGCCCAGGCTGTTGCTGGCGTTTAGGGAGTGAGCCAGCAGATGGAAGATCCGCCTTCCTCGCTCCCTTGCGCACGCGCTCTCTCTCTCTCTCTCTCTGTGTTGCTCTATCAAGTAGACAAAAATAAACGTTAAAAAAATAGCCTTGAAGATAGTGCTTTTTAATATCAATTTTTTTTGCTTTATTTAAAGTAAATTAAAATGTGTTTAACTCCACGCCTCTGGCGAGGGGACTCAGCAGTGTGACTGGGTTCATGCCCTTATTTCAGAGTAGTCGTTAATAGCACAATATTGATAGCACCTTCCATCGCAAGAGTGTCCCAGGTTGGCTGGTAAGTTACAAGTCCTCTGCCCATGGACTCAGTGGGGCATCCCCAGGAGAGGAGGAGGCCCATTCACACCAGAAGGGGCTCCGCCTTACCTGTGAGATGTGCTCTGGGGGCTGGGGCCAGAATATGGAGCAAGCTTCCCGCCCAGCTCTATTTTGAAAAAAGACTTATTCATTTGAAAGTCAGAGTTGCACAAAGAAAGGTAGGGAGCAAGAGAGAGAAAGAGTGAGAGAGCGCTTCCATCTGTTTGTTCACTCCCCAAAAGGCTGCAATGCCCAGGGCTGGGCTGGGCCACAGCCAGGAGCCAGGAGCCTCCTCCAGGTCCCCCACGCAGGTGGCAGGAACCCAACCACTTGATCCATCTCCACTGCCTCCCAGGGTCTGCACTAGTGAGAAGCTGGAGCCAGGAGCTGGATCCAGAAATCAAACTCAGCTACGCAGGCGTCCTAACCACCAGGCTAGACACTTGGCCCACTGGCCGACTCTTGCGTGCACTAACGTCTGAGAAACATGGACCGAGCTTGGCCATCTGGACAGGCTACGTAGCAGGTGCCGCCTCCTTCCTTCCCCGTACCTGCTCTGAGCAGGCAAAACAGCCTCCCGACTACCGAAGCTGTGCTTGTCTTTCCACGAGGGACGCGTACTCACGGGTCGTGGTTGATTTGCCACTGGTTTATGAAAATGCAGCATTCCTTGGGAATGTGGAAGCCGTTCAGTGTGGTGTCCCTGGTGGTGCTGTGGAGGGAAGAGGGCTCCGTCCGGCTCCGGGCTGGGGCAGTCTCACTCCCGTGCCCACTGTGTCCCAGCGCCCCCACCATGTAGTCACGGGCCCCACCCTGGCAGGCGGGATGAAATTGCCTCCCCTTCCCCCAGCTCCTGTCTTCAAAGCGAGTTTGCTGAACTCTGCGCTCAGCACGCATTTGGCCCTTCCTGGAGCCGGCATTGTGGTGCAGCCAGTTGAGATTCTGCTGCTCCACTTCTGATCCAGTTCCCTGCAAATGTACCTGGGAAGGCAGCAGGTGATGGCCCAGGTGCTTGGGGCCCTACACCCATGTGGGAGACCAGGATGAAGCTCCTGGCTCCTGGCTTTGGCAGGACCCAGCCCCAGGCTATTGTGGTTGTTTGGAGGTGAACTAACAGATGGAAGATCATATAGATAGTAGGGGCCCAAGGAGTTGGACCACCATCCGCTGCCTTCCCAGGCACATTAGTAGGGAGCTGGATCAGAAGTGGAGCAGCCAGGGCTGGCTCTATCTCATAGTGGGCTAAGCCTCCACCTGCAACGCTGGCATCCCATATGGGCGCTGGTTCTAGTCCCGGCTGTTCCTCTTCCAGTCTAGCTCTCTGCTATCGCCTAGGAAAGCAGTAGAGGGTGGCCCAAGGGCTTGGTCCCCTGCACACCTGGGAGATCTGGAGGAGGCTCCTAGCTCCTGGCTTCGGATCAGATCAAATTGGCTCAGCTCTGGCTGTTGTGGCCATTTGCAGAGTGAACCAGCAGATGGAAGACCTCTCTGTCTGTCTCTCCCTCTCTCTGTCTGTAACTCTACCTCTCAAATAAATAAATAAATAAACCAATGGACGGAAGACCTTTCTCTTGGTCTCTCCCTCTCACTGTCTGTAACTCTAACTCTCAAATAAAATAAATAAAATCTTAAAAAATTTTTTTTCAAGAAAAAAGTGGAGCAGCCGGGACTTGAACCAGGCATTGATATGGGACGCTGACATTGCAAGTCACAGCTTAGCCTGCTGCACCACAACAGCCTCTTGCTTGCTGCTGAAGTCAGCGTTCACTAACTCCCTTGATTTCGTTCAATTTCAGGACGTAATCAAGGCTCGGCGGCTGTTAGGTCCTGGCAGACAGCAGAGAGGCTGGACCCGCCAGGTGAGTGCAAGATACTCCCGGAGGGCAGGTTTGTGTCGGGATTGGCTGCGGGGCAGAGGTAGGGCTGTAGGAGCCGAGGAGAGGGTGGGGGTCACTCCGGGTCCTACACCAGCACCGTTGGAGGCTGCTGGGCTGGGGCGAGGGTGCTGGCAGGGAGGGGATGGGGGCAGAGCGGAGGGAGCGCTGTGATCTGGGTGTGGCTTTCTCCTGGCAAGGCCTGGGGCGGGCAAGATGGCCGCCTCACCTGTGGGGGATGGTGAAGGGGACGAAAGAGGTGTGTCGGAAGAGCTCCAGGATGAAGGCCTCCAGGTAGGGCAGCTGGGGTCTGTCGGAGAGGCGGGGCTGCCGCGCCCTGCCAACCACAGCGTCTGCAGAACACCAGGGGTGGGCGACGGACGGAGCTCAGGGCTACTGTGGCACTCGGCACCTGTGTCACTCTACACGGGGCCCCACTGCTCCCCAGCATTTTTGGGGCAAGGGTGGGCATCACTGTCCATCCGGGCTTTCACAGAGCAGGTGCGTAGCAGGCATCTGTAGATGGATCAAGCCCAGCCACAGGGTCAAGGGCACCACCTACCCAGCTCCTCCTGGATCTTTCTCTGTCTCCTGGGGTTGGTCACCAGGTACATGAGGCTCCATGAGAGTGCTGTGGTGATGGTGTCAAACCCTGGGGGGGATAGGAAGGAAGGACGGAAGGACCACGGAGACCTGCGTTAAACAAGCACCTGCCAGGGAGGGACCAAGCCGTATCTTCCTCTGACCCCAGCCCCTGAGCTTCCTGGGGGCAGGGCTGGGCTTCTTGGCGTGGACTTGGGACATTGGTCATCAGCTGCCGGCATGACAGGGGCTAGGCTTAGAGGTCAGAGGGTTCTTTATCGCTCCGTGGGGAAGCTGAGGTGTGCAGGGGGAGAGGGACTTGGAGCAGAGTTTCCAGTGGGAGTTGGTGGCACAGCTCGGGCCAGGTTCCTGTGTCCTGTGCTAGCCGGTGTGAGGCTGGGAGGCCGTCTGATGGGCCCTGGGGCTGAACGAGGGTGTGGGTGCCCAGCAGGCACCGGGTGGGGGTGGAGGGGCAGGGTCCCGCCCCTACCAGCTCCAAAGATGTCGTTGACGAGGTTGACGATCTTCTCCTGGGGGATGAGGCCGCCGTTGGCCTTGGAGTTCTTTTCGCTGTGCTTGAAGAGGGCGCCCGTGATGTCCTGGATGCTGTTCTGAAGGGACACGGGCTTAGGGCGCCAAACGCCGGCCCCGGTGGGTGGCGTGTCCTTGGGTGCTCCCCCCTCCGCCCTGCCTGGGGCTCACAGCAGGAGGCTTGACCCCTCTCCCAACAACCCAGGGTCCAGTTTCAAAGGAGGAAGAGGCCGGTGTGAACAGGGAAGTGAAGCGAAGGCAGAGCTGGGGATCAGCCACTGTTGGGGTTCAGGTTCCCGCAGGACAAAGGCTGAGGGCACCCCCCACGGTGCTGGCGGGTCTCCCAGGGCCCCTGATGGGGAAGCGGTAAGGGTGTGGATTCTGAGGAGGCGTGGTTGGCCCTGGGCCACATGGCTGGTCCTGGGGGGGGGGGGGTCCCTCGGCAGGTGCACCCAGGGCTCACCCTGTCGAAGTCCTCATAGTGCTCCCGGACGGTTTTCTGCAGGAACCGCAGGAACCTCTGGTTGAAGTCCTTGAACCTCTGCAGGGGGCGGTTGGGCAGGTAGCGCAGGATGGGGAAGAAGTCCACGGGGCTGCTGGAAGAGGCGGTCTCCACGAACTTGCTGCTGTTCCTCACGACGTCCAGCATCTCCTCACTGCCCTGCGGGAAGTGCCGCCCAAAGCACATGGCCCCGATGACCCTGGCCGCCGACACCACCAGCTGGCTGTAGGGGTCGAAGCGCCCCACAGCCGCCATCAGCTCCTGGAACCTGCTGATGAGGTTCTCGGCCTCCTGGCTCACGTGCTCCTCCAGGTAGCAGGAGCTGGAGGAGGCGGGGTTGGAGGCGATGGAGAAGCTCTTCAGGGAGTCCTGGGCCAGGCGCCGGCGGGCGGCCCACACGGGCCCCGAGTCTGGGCTGAAGGTCATGCTCTGGCCCTCGGTGATGAAGGAGGAGCTGTAGAGGTCAGGCCGGCCCTTGAAGTCGTCGCCTTGCCGCACCAAGGCCTGCTTGATGGTGTCCAGGCCGCTGAGCACCACCACGGGCGTGGAGCCCAGGCGGATCTGGAACACGTCCCCGTAGCGCCGGCTCAGCCGCGCCAGCGCCACGTGCGGGTTCTTGCCCAGCGTCAGCAGGTGCCCGAGCAGGGGCCAGCCCCAGGGCCCCGGCAGACGCTTCAGGCCTTTGGGGACCTTAGGCCTCGAGGCCCTGACCGCCCAGAACACCAGGCAGAAGACGGCAGAGACCAGGAGCAGCTCAGTGACCGAGAGGGGAGCGGCTGGGGACATCGCCATCTGCAGCAACAGAAGGGGCGAGGCGGGAGGGGCCGGGCTGAGGGTCTGGACGGAGCTGCTCCTCCATCCGCGTCCTCATCCAGGCTCTGTGCTTGGCTGCCTGCCTGCTGCAACCCACAGAGGCTGCGAACTCCCAGAGTGGGTACCCAGGACGCTGAGGTGGGCCCCCAGCACTGTGTGTGTGTGTGTGTGTGTGCACGTGCACTCTGGAGGTTGTGCCAACAGGCCCCTACCAGGGCTGGCTTCCTGCCGGCCATGTGGAGCTCCCCCACCCAGTGACACGGAGGAGGCGAGGTCCCAGGGCTGCAACAAACAGCTTCTGGTCCATACCAGGAAGGGCGCCTCCCTCCGCCCCCAATGATGAGTGAGTCCCTGTCCATCACAGCCTGGGAGGCTGGGGTTGGGCAGCAGCCTTGGCCAGGCCACCCTCGTGGCTAGCGAGGACCCTCCTCTCCTCTCCCCCACTCCGAGGAGGGACCCTTGGAGATGTCCTAGGTTAAACCGCTCCTTGGAAAATGGAGGCACTGGCCTCCAGAGCTGGCGTAGTTACGAAGGCCAGGGCTCAGGCCTCCTCCAGGTAACCCAGGGCCCCCCGCCCCCCATCGCTGTAGAGCAGGGAGTCCCGAGGGCCGAGCAACTTACCTGTAGAGGCAGGTGCTTCAGATCGGCGGGGCTGTGGGGGCTGTCCACGGCGGCAGGCTCCGGCCGAGGGGGCATTTATATTCCCTACCACCTATCAGGTTGGCCTGGTCACCTGACATCAAAGTTGGATCACTGAACAAAGTTGGAAGGATCAACCCTCGGCTTTGGGCCATGAGCCCTCAGCTCCGCCCACTCCCCAGGCCCCAGGCCAGCTCCCTGGGGCTGGGCCAGAGAGGATCATGGTAATGGCCAGCTCTTCAGTAGATGTCCAGGGCAGGCGGATCCGCTTCCCTCCAGGGCAGGCCAGGGGGCTGGGAGTGGGCGCTGTCCCCAGAGGGAGGGTCCCTGCGGGCACTTGGTCCAGGGGCCCACGCTGCCCCTCTAGTGCCACCTCCCCAACAACCTATGACTCCAGCCGGCTCCGCATCTTGGCCTGAGCCTTCTAGAAAGTTCCCTCACGTTCCTGCCTCCTGGGAGACACAGTGAGAAACTAAACAGCAAATGAGGTTGCTCGTGCGACATGAGGGCTCCGGCCAGAATCGCTTGACCAGAATAGACAAGGGCTGCTCCGGAGACGGGGCGGCCAGATGTGGCGTGCGGAAGGCGGCCAGCACACAGAATCTCTCACAGGCTGCCAAGGACAGCTCCGGGAGAACTGGGGACGTGTGACCGTGACCGTGGCCGGGAGACGGCATCCTGGGCTGAGGGCTGGTCTTCTTCCTTCTGCACACAGCAGCACGGGTGTGAGGGGGTACCCTGGTTTGTGGGGACAGGGGGGTGCTGGTTAGGGGTGGAGTGCCGTGACACCGGCAGCCTGCTTTCAAATGCTCTATCATCGCTCCCTGTCATCCATCTATTATCATTTATCAATCATCTCTCAATAAGAGATGATTATCTGTCCATCCTCTGTCTACCTATCTATCCACCATCTTTATCTGTCATCTGTCTTCTATCTTTCTGTCCATCCTCTGTCTACCTATCAATCTGTCTTCCTATGGATCCATCATCTGCTTATCTGCTAGTATCTATTTAACATCTGTCGGTCAGCTCTCTGCTGTCATTTATGTACCCTCTATGTATCCATTTGTCCATCTAGCAATCATCTGCCTGTCATCTGTCAATCAATCTACCTGTTATCCAAGTGGATGACATCTATCTGCTGTCTTTAAAAAAAAAAGATTTATTTTTTATTTATTTGAAAGGCAGAGTTACAGGGTGGGGGGAGACAGAGAGCGAGCGAGCGAGCGAGAGAGAGAGAGAGAGAGAGAGGTCTTCCATCTGCTGGTCTGCTCCCTGAATATCCGCAATGGCAGGAGCTGTGCCAACACGAAGCCAGGAGCCAGGCGCTTCCTCCCGATCTCCCACGTGGGCGCAGGGGCCCAAGGACTCAGCCCATCCTCCACTGCTTTCTCAGGCCATAGCAGAGAGCTGGATCGGAAGAGGAGCAACCGGGACACAAACTGGCGCCCATGTAGGATGCCCGCGCCAGAGGCGGTGGCTTAGCCCACTACGCCAGAGCACTGGCCTCTCTGCGCTCGCTCTCTCTCTCTCTCTCTCTCTCTCGTCTGAGGAACGTCAGCCTTCTATGAATGTACAGGTGCTCGCTGTATGGAAGGGGCCTTTAAGAGAGGCTCAGGTCTTGGCTGGGTCTGAGAGAGGGTGGAGCGCAGCCTTAGGTCGGGCATGGGGTGCAAATCTTACTTTAGGCTGAACTGGGCTTTTCACCCCTGAATACGGGGAAGCTGTGGGGTCAGCCAGTGGAGACGTCGAGGGGCAGGATGGGAAATGGGACAGAGCACAGCGGGGGTTGGAGGCTGGGGAAGGTAGGACGGTAAAGCTGTGCACATAAAACGGGTCAAGGGCCAAGCTAGGCCGTGCTGGTACAGAATGGAACTTTCATGAACTAACTACAGTTCACAGTTTACTCAGAGGCCCTTGGCTTGCGTAACGTCTCTTCTCTTCCAGGGTCTTGTCCAGGACACCTGGAGACATTTAGTCATTGGACTCTTCATGGCTGTGACAGTTTCTGTGTGATTATTAATTTATTTATTTGAAAGGCAGAGTTGGAGAGAGAGGAGAGACATGGGGCTGGCATTGCGGTGTAGCAGGTAGATGTAGGTGCCCTGGGATCGCTCTGGTCTGCCTTCTGCCTTCCCGTCGTTCCCTTGCGGGGGACGTCTGCCCTCCTCCCATCACTTCTCCCTCCCGCAAAGCTCCTCAAGGAAACACAGTGCTTCCGGGTCAGAGCTGCTTATAATGCAACACCAGGATGCCTTTGCGGCTCGGGCTCCCGTCTCCACTCACGCGAGTCTTCCCAGTCTGGCCTGCCGTTGCCGTCTTTAGCTGCTTGCCTGCTTCTCTCAGCCCCGCTGTGAAGACATCGCCTTGTGAAGTCCCACTCGTGACTGCCACATAACGCGGCTCGAGGGGCCAGCCTGGGGCGCGCAGCTGTTGTGGCCCAGTGGGTTAAGCTGGGACACCTGTATCCCTATGGGCGTGCTGGTTCAGGCCTTGGCCACTCGGCTTCCAATCCAGCTTCCTGCTAATGCGCCAGGGAAGGCAGCAGAGGATGGCCCAAGTGCTTGGGTCCCTGCACCCACATGGGAGACCCGGATGGAATTTTTGACTCCTGGCTTCCACTGGGCCCTGCCCTGGCTGTTGTGGGCATCTGGGGAGTGAACCAGCTGATAGAAGATCTCTCTCTCTCTTTCTCTCTCTCTTTCTCTCTCTCTCTCCTCTGTTACTCTGCCTCTCAAATAAATAAATATTTTAACTCTTTTAGAAAAGATTTATTTATTTGAAAGGCAGAGTTATAGACAGATGGGGGGGGCAGAGAGAGAGAGAGAGAGAGAGAGAGAGAGAAATCTTCCATCTGCTGGCTCACTTCCCAAATGGTCTCACCGACCAGGGCAGGGCCAGGCCGAAGCCAGGAGCCAGAAACTCCATCTGGGTCTCCCGCATTGGAGGCAGGACCCAAGCACTTGCGCCATCCTCTGCTGCCTTCCCTGGCGCATTAGCCAGGAGCTGAATCGGAATTGGAGCAGCTGGAATTCAAACTGGTGCCCATGTGGAATGCCGGAGTCACAGGCGGCAGCTTCACCCACGGGGCCACCGCGCCAGCCCCTCCCTCGATTTTGAATACAGTGCGGGTCGCACAGTGGGTGTGTTCTGTCCTTACAGCGGCCAGCGTGGACTTCACAGAGGGGCTGGCACCAGCAGGCAAGCAGCTAACAAGGACCCGTGGCAGCCCCAGGTTGGTGCCAAAGCCGTCGTGGCCGGAGGGGGTCCCCTGAACTGACCCTGTTGGACCTGGTACCTCACTTCCTGCTCCCGACTCTCAATGTAAAGTATGTTTGAGGTCTCTCAGGGCTGAAAATAAAAGTCAACTAGGGGGCGGGGGCCAAGCCTGGTGGTTCAGCTGCTGGCATCCCACACCTGATTCCTGCTAATGCAGCCCCCAGGAGGCAGTGGGGACGCCTGCTCCAGGAGTGGGAGATCTGGGTGAGTTCCTGACCCCCAGCAGGGCGGAGGGCACAGAGCCAGTGCGGAGGAGCCCTGAGAGCCTTGAGCCACAGCTGCAGTCCTTGCGTGGGCCACACTCTGCTCGGCAGCCTCTCCACAGCCGCCTTCTGGGGGCTCTGCCTTTGCCCGCTCCCCCCCGAACCCCTGCTCTGCTGGGCCAGCGCTCAGGAGCTGCAGCCTCCCTCCTGGTCTCTCTCACCTGCACAAATGGCCCCTCTGCACGACCCCAGGTGAGGGACTGCGTTGGGCTGATGGACACAGGTGGGGACTGGCCCGGGTTTGTGCCTGGGGAGGAGGAGGGGCTGCAGGGGGTGAGGGAGCCGGCTGGGGAGGGCCCTGCAGGCCGCAGTCAGGAGGCTGCTCCCCTGCTTCTAGAATCTTCCTCTGTAAGGGGCGGGGTCTCCGCCTCAGCACAGCTGCAGGCGGGAGGGCAGAGGGCTTCGGGCAGCAGGGAGCAAAGGGGCAGCTGATGCCTGGGACCCGGCTCTGCTGGCGTCCCAGGGCCACCCCAGCCAAGGCGCCTCCAGCATAGCTCCCGCAGGGCCCAGACGCAATGGACCCACCCTGCCATGGCCCTCGGCAGCCATAGTGGGGGCTTCCGCAGACATGCTGAGCCCCCAGAGTGGGCCTGTTGGAGGCCATTCTATCCAGGGCCCAGCTGTTCAACAGGAGCGACCTCTTAGGAGCCTGTCCAGCCTGAGTGGTCTTGTTGGCTTCTGTCACTCAGAGGCTCGGCTGGGTAAGCCGCCCTGGCTGGCCCCTTGGGTCAGAATTTTTTTTAAGGTTTATTTATTTATTTGAAAGGCAGAGATTCAGAGAGAGAAGGAGAGAGAGAGAGCGCTTCCATCTGCTGGTTCACTCCCAAAATGGCCACTTTGGTCAGCCTTGGCTAGGCCAGGCCAAGCTAGGAGCCAGGAGCTTCTTCAGGGTCTCCCACATGGGTGCAGGACCCCAAGCACTTGGTCCATCTTCTACTGCTTTCCCAAGCCATTAGCAGGGAGCAGAATCAGAAATGGAGCAGCTGGGACTTGAACTGGCGCCCATGTGGGATGCCTGCACTGCAGGCAGAGTCTTAACCTGCTACACCACAGCTCTGGATCCCAAGGGTCAGAATTCTTCTTCTTTTTTTTTAATATTTATTTATTTATTTCAAAGTCAGAGTTACACAGAGAGAGGAGAGGCAGAGAAAGAGAGACAGGTCTTCCATCCAATGGTTCAGTCCCCAACTGGCCGCAATGGCTGGAGCTGTGCCGATCTGAAACCAGGAGCCAGGAGCTTCCTCCAGGTCTCCCACATGGGTGCAGGGGCCCTAGGACTTAGGTCATCCTCCACTGCCTTCCTGGGCAGCCGGGTCTTGAACCGGCACCCATGTGGGATGCCAGCGTTGCAGGTGGAGCCTTAGCCTGCCACACCACAGCGCCGGCCCCGAGCCAGGCTCCTTTGAGAGTGAAAGAGGGCACCTTCGTGCTGATGTCAGGACAACAGCTTAGGCCAAGACCGATATGGG